CAACCCATACAGCACTGTCTTTGGTAATTGATCTTCAGTTCCTACGTGACTTTCTTCTTCTTATTCATCTGCTTTGTTTGTAGGAAGATAAATAAAACTTTATAAATATTCTTCGTTTTTTCTGCATTTACTATATATAAGTTAAGTTAAACCCAATAAGATGTCCTTTTGAGACAAAAATTATAGTATTTTTATAATTTTAATTTATTTCAGAGTTATAATAGTCTTTATAAGTGTAATTTTTCAAACTTTCAATTCCAAAACAACATCGTTTTGAAAGTAAATGCAGATAACTTATTTTCAGTAAACTGTTGTCTTTTAGAATTGAAAATGCCCTTGGTCTTTTTGTTTAATCAATCCTACCACTTAACGTTTAAAACACTAACACCACTTTTAATAAGAGTGTTAAATTTTATCACATGGTAACCCTCTAGTTGTTTGTTAACATGAATTCAAAATCAACTAATCCCAAAAAAGAAAAAAGAAAAAACAGAATTTATCTCAAACCCTAATAAGCAAACTACATTCATGATAAATCAAAGAAAAAAAATATAAGTTGTGATTTTGAGATGGAGAAATTTTAATTTTTGTAACAGGTGAAGATAGGTATAATTTTCCATTTTCCTTCTCGCGTAAGGAACATGATGAAAAAATAATGTAGAAACTTTTGCATGAAGGAATTCTGATATTTGGGGGAAATTAAGGTAGAAATAAAATTATGCTGCTTTGTGTTTTTAGACGATTGGAGGATAAAGTAATCACAAGGTAATAAAATTTAAGGGGGTTGGGTAGAGGAGAAAATTTTTTGTACTTGAGAATCACGATTACAAGAAATATGTTAGGAAAGTGAATTTTTGGAAAATGTGACCAAAAAATTGTTTGATAAACCAAAATATTAACAAGAATGTTGGCTCAAGTTCTGTGATTTCATTTTGATTGATTGTTAAATATTATTGAGAATGTAGGTGATTTTAAAAACTGCATTATTGGCACTAGTGGTGCCATTACCGCATTATTGGCGCATGAAGAAAATATTTGGCGTTGGCGCGAAGGCCAAAATATTTTTCCACCTCTTGGGAATCCAAGAATACCATCTCACTTGTGTTGGAAATCGACTACACACAAATCGAAAACGAAAAGAAAAGAGAGAGAATAGACACATCGATTTACCCTAATTTACCCAATTTATCCAATTTAGGCTACGTCCAGCTTGTCTGTACTATATTCACCTCACCGCCACTCGTTACAAATCTCTCGGTTTACAAGGCAAATATAAATAGGATTACAAAACCCTAATAGCAGCTATTCATGGGCCCAAGCCCAAACTGCTAAGAAAATTACAATAAAACAGAGGCCCACAACAGTACCTAGCCTCTACGGGCCTGGGGCCGCTGCCCCCCGGACCCCCGCCAGGGCGGCTCCCCCGGACCCCAGCCCGCTCACCTGGGAGCGGGACTCCAGTTGCCTTTCTGCTGACCCCGACAACTAAGGCTATCATCAGCATGCGAAGTATGAGCCTTACCCAACAACTTGTGGTATTCTTCGATGATATTTTGCCTTAAAAAAATATTCACATATCAGAATCATGGAAAAATCAGATTCTCGGAAAAAATTTCACAATCTTTGTATCAAACATGGGTAGATAAAATTCTCAATATCACTTTTCCAAGAATATTATTTGAAGTTAACATGGAGGGGTACAACGAGGACTTTAAATGTTAGGGACTTACTGATTAAAAAAAAAATTAGGGATATTTTTAATTCTAAGAAAATGTTTAGGTGTATTTATAAAGTTTTCTTTTTTCCTTATTATTGTTGCAGATGCAAAGAGGTTAATTGGAAGGAAATATAGCGACTTCACAGTTCAGAATGATGTGAACTTGTTGCCATTTAAAGTCATTGCTGGTACTAAAGACAGACCCATTATAGTTGTTAAGTACAAGAGTGAGGAAAAGCACTTTGTTGCTGAGGAGATCTCGTCTATGATCCTAAGAAGAATGCGTGAGATCGCAGAGACATTCCTAAAGTCACCTGTAAAGAATGCAGTTGTTAGTGTTCCTGCTTGTTTCAATGACTCTCAGCGTCAAGCTACCAAAGATGCTGGTGTCATTGCTGGCCTCAATGTTATGCGGATAATCAATGAACCCACTGCTGCAGCTCTTGCTTATTAGCATCAAAAGAGAGCTAAACTTGTTGGAGAGCAAAATGTTTTCATATTTGATCTGGGTGGTGACACTTTTTATGTGTCTCTTGTCACAATTAAGGATGATATATTAGAAGCTAAGGCCACTGTTGGAGACACTCACCTCGGAGGAGAGGGCTTCGATAACAGAATGGTGAACCACTTGGTATTGAAAAAGAATCGAACACATGCTCTCACTCCCACCTGTTAAGTTCTCTGACGTCAACTGAATTACCATCATTTCGTAACACTCGTGCAAAGTTTGAGCAACTAAACATTGACCTCTTTAGAAAGTGTATGGATGCTGTTGAGAGGTGTCTTACTGATGCTAAGATCTTATGAGTGTAGTGATTCCTAAGAACACTGCAATTCCTACAAAGAAGAAACAAGTATACTTTACCAGGAATGATTTTCAATGCACCGTTTCCGTTGAAGTTTTCGAGTGTGAAAGGACAAGAGACAGGGATAACAACTTGCTGGGCTTGTTTCATCTTTCAGTTCCTCCTGTTCCCCGTGGCCTTTATATCGAAGTGTGCTTTGGTATAGATGCTGATGGTATATTTAATGTCTCTGCTCAGGAAGGAACCACCGGGAGCAAGAAAGAGATTATGATAACAAATGAAAATGGAAGACTCTCAAGCGAAGAAATTGAGAGAATGTTTAAAGAAGCTGAGGATTACAAGGCTGAAGAAATGGATTACAAGAAGATGTTTGAGTCAATGAATGCTTTGGTTGATGACCTTGACAGTATGAAAAAAGTTATTAAGGATGTGCTTAATAAGTATCATGTATGCTAGTTCAATTCTCCTCCCACAAGGCCAAGATTGAGATCAATTATGAAATTATTAAGGGAAGGTATTTGCTTGGAGGCAAATTATTAATAAAATTGTAGAAATTTGTTTTGCGTGCATCAGTTCTGCTTCCTCATGTATTATGTTGGTGTATTGCTTGTTTAGCTTCTCTGATTCTCATTTCATATTGATCTATTAAATTGTGCAAAAGAATTGCTAGAAGAGAGTGACAAGTCACATGCATTAAATTGATATTAATAGAAACAGATAAACAGGAGTTTAATAATAGAAGTTCACCTGGAAAGGAAGAAAAAATATTAAATTAAAAATTTTAATACACACCCACATAAATTATCATTTCTTTTGATCCAACCGTTAAATATAAATATTTACTTGTTAATGTCAAATCTTATAATATTAAAAATTAGGGTAGGATACTGTAATAATCAATTAATGTTACTACCAATAAATTTTACCGTTAGATTGATTATGCTGATCCAACGGTTATATTTATTTTCATATTTGTATACTTATGATTTCCTAAATTTAATGCTTTCACATTAAAGATGGGAAATCATAATCATACAAAGGCGAAAATAAATATAAAGTATTAAATATGAGAGAATCATAACCATACAAAGATGGAAATAAATATAACCGTTAGATCAGCGTAATCGATCTAACAGTGAAATTGATTGGTAATAACACTAATTGGTTGTTACATTGATAGTAACACTATAGCTAGTTGGCTGTTACAATATCTTATTCCTTTTTATATATTTAAAATTCAATTTTGTTCTCGACGAACATTAATAGGTAATCTCTGATATCTTGTGTCCCTATTATGGAGTTTTCTCCTCTTTTATATACTCTAATAAACGGTTATAATAGTGGTGGGTAGTTACTGGTAATTTATCATTGAGATCATGGTAGGGCTCTTTGATGCCATTAGCTAACGCTTGGGTCATATGCATGTTCTGAGTTTGATTGATATACTTTATCCCCACATCATAACTCTAATTTAAGCCCATATGACGAACTCGGAACAAATTTTATTAAATTAGTTATTTATGTCCTTTTTATTAAAGCATGTTTTCTCTTTTTAAGTTTTTTTAAATTAATCATACATGCCTAATTTATAATTTTAACCATATGAATGCATAAAATAATTTAAAGTTAGCGTAAAATTCTAGTGCAAGTGACGTTAACCAATACACGAAACTAAAGATTAATTACAAATAAAAAATCAACTCTCTCTTTTTGAGTTAACCATACTCTAATTATACTTCCCGATATTTTCATAACCTTTAATTCTTTAATTTTGTTATGAAACTAATCCAAAATTCATGACAAGTCAAGAATGAAAATATTTAACCCCTTTACAAAAGTGACATATGAGGATCAAACAATAAAAAACCAACCTTGACTAACAAATACCAACCTCTGATCACATCAGAATTGATATCCCAATTTTACAATTTATCAATTTGATTAAAAAGAAAAGACAGCAACCATGTGGCTATACACTTTTTCTTCTTGGAGATAAACTATATTTATAACTTCTGAATCAATAAATAAATAAATAAACTATTGTAATAAACTTCTGTACACGAATTGTTGAATGTGTAATTGGATTGGAGCTACCTTAACTTTTCTCCCCAGCAAACAAAAACGAAACAAACAAATTAAGCAGCATAGTTCTATTCGGATTTTATAAATTCTTCAATCTTCGAGGAACATTAATATTCTTGGCAGGGTAGCATCACGTGAAGTGCCACGTGTCCTCTACCAATTTCATGCATTGCATGCGCCTCTATTACGTGTCCACGTATAAAGCCAATGAATCATCATTCTCATCAAAACCATACCATATCAAACGCCACATGTCATCTTCACACGTGGCCAAAGATACAACTAGCAGCCCACAGTAACAGTTGGACACGTGGCACCATGGAATCATTATCAAATATTCACTCTTCATCTTCTATATATACTCATTTCCGAGGAGTATCAACAAAAGGGCGAGAGCAAGATATCCGTTTGTTTCCCGAGAAAGTGATAGAAAATGGCTACCACTGAGGAACCTATTCTCTCTAGGATTGACCGTTTGGATAATATGGTAAGTGGTTCCATCTTAGTACCTTTATTTTGCTTAGATTTATGGGTTTAATATTTTTATTTTTACTGCAGAAATATTTTATATTATGTCATACTTATATAAAATATTTCTTTATGTCAATGTAATTCTAAAAATCTTATTCAAGCTGAGTTATTAGCTGGTAAGAATTTGGTTTATCAAATTTAAGTTAGATTTGTAATAATCTTTAGCGAAGAATTACATTGGATTTTTAAATTCTTATATTATTCACAAGATAATAACTATTTTTTTTTAAAAAAAAGGAAGTCATAACAATACTAAGATTTAATTGAAGTTGAAAATTACAGGGATTTTTTAATAGACTATATAAAAAGGAATCATGTATGAAAATCTTAGTGGGCCATAGCTTTTAAAAAAAAAGTAAATATCATTTTTGGTCCTCAGTAAATTTTACGATGTCCGCTTTAGTCCCTAGCTAATAAAAAGGTCCATTGTGGTCCCTAAGAAATTTAAAATGGACCAATTTAGTTGAAATCGTGGTCCCTCACAAATTTAAAAAAGACTCATATTAGTCCCTAAAAGGACTAAAAGGAGTTCATTTTGAATTTTTTAGGGACCACGATGGACTTTTTATTCGCTAAAGACTAAAGCGGGCATCATAAAATTTGCTGAGGACAAAAAAAGTATTTACTCAAAAAAAAAAGATTTTGATGGTTCATTCAAAAAATTAAAAATAAAAATATTTTCAGTTAAGGCAATTGGAGGAAATTAGAGGGTACAGTCGATCTCCAAAGAGCTCGTGTGCATCCACTTCAACAAGCCGAAGTGATGAACACGTGTCCTCCGCTGATTTCTCCCCAAAGAGCTTGGAAAAGCGCTGCCGTCCGATCGAGAACGTTATGATGGAGACTGAAGTCAAAGGAACCCTGATAGAGAGGCTCAACCAAGTGGAGGATCGGATGCGAAAGGTATGTCCACGTGGAAGATTATTGACCTTTCGATCAAGGCTTGGCCATTGAGGTGTATGATAATCTGATAGAGTCTAATGTATTGCATGAAAGCTATGTTTGCAGTTGGAGGAAGAGTGGGGAGCAGAGAGGAAAAGAAAAGAGAAGAAAATGGAGAAGAGACCAAAGAAGGGTTTGAAACAGCTTGTGAAGCAATGTGTGAAAGCAAGGGGAAAACATGATCAGAAAAATGAATGAATTATAATCATTGTGGTACACCAATTGTGACTTTGTTGTACACCAATTATGACTTTGTTGTACATTTACTTTTCTTTTTGTGGGAATGCTCAAGTGAAGGCAGTTTTAAAGTTCTGGTTTCCACTTAATTTAATTTTGGCTCATTCTTTAATAACTAGATGACATAATTAGAGGTGGCAAAGTGGGCGGTCCGCCTCGCTCCGCCCCACCCCGTCATCAACCCGCCAAAAAATGAGTTAGCTCGTCCCGCTTTTAAAAATGGGCTCAAAAACTCAGCCCGCTCCGTCCCGTTTGGCAGGTTGGGCGGGTTGCCCCGTCAGTCCGAGCCTATTTTACACTGACTCGTCTCGGGCCGCCTATGCCCGCTATCAACCCGCCAAAAAATGAGTCCGCCACGCCCTGCCCCGCTTTTGAGATGGGTTGAAAAATTCAGTCTGCTCCGCCCCGTTTGGCCAGTTGAGTGGGTTGGCCCGCCGAGCCAAGCCTGTTTTGCCGGCTCTAGACATAATTATTAAAAGGGGTTTGATTTTCTCATATTGAATGAGAATTCAATTCTCATGTTGTAGAGATAAAAAGCATGTGGGACCCATGTGTTAGAAAAAATAATATGTAAGACCCATGTCAGCACGGAAATCGAAGGGTGTGTAAGAAAATTTGAATTCTCATGTTAAATGAGAATTATAAAACCCTTATTAAAAATGGTATAACATTTTTATGTTATTCATTCATTTCCTAAAAGATTAACTAAGGTTTACATTTATATTTTAGGGGGAAGTTTTATATTTTAGGGAGAAGTTTTATATTTACAAACTAAATCGCTTACAATTAAATTTTATTTATTAATTTCCGTTAATCTAACAGATTTATTGAGTCACACTTATTATTAACATTTTGTCTTAAGAGGTTTATAAATAAACTTTTCTTATATTTTAGGATTATTTTCTTTTCTAGAAAAGTGTGCTCATTTTTTATGTGATATTTGGATATAAGATTAAGTTTTAATCTTTAAAATTACTTATTAAATGTGTCTTCTTTATCAACAATTAAAATTTTATCGGTATCTACCAAAAAACAATTATCGGTGTTTAAATATACGTTTATATTTACAGACAAAAAAGCTAGTATAGAAAAATATTTTTTTCCTATCATATAAGATAAATTATCTCCAGCAATTATCTTGATTGGAAGATTTAGAGAATTAATGAATTATATTTTGAAAATTCTTACTTTCATTAACTTTTTGACGACATAATTTTGAGATTGTTAATTTATTTCCTGTGATAGAAGTAATAATAAACTATACTCATATGTTACATAAATGTCTTTACTACTTTTTTTTTTAAGTAACAAAAGTTCTGCTGTTTTTATCTATGTTGACAACTCTTTTTACATATGATAGCTATCTTGTAGTAAATTGATCCTATATTGATTACCAAAAAAAAAAAAATGATCCTATATTTGCTTCATTTTACATTATGCAGACTTTGTTTATTCTAACATTGTTCACGGTTAAAACAACTCAATAGATAGTATTTAGTTCATTTTATTTTAATTCTAAAACGAGTTTTTTTTTTTTAAGTTATTTTAAATAACTTTATCTAATGTTCACCGAAACGATGTCGTTTTATTTCAGGATTATACTAGTCTTTTATCATTCTAATTTTTTTATTTTTTAACTCCAAAACGATATTGTTTCAATGAACATTAGACAAAGTTATCTAAAGTAGCATTAGATACTTTTTTTCCTTCTAAAAAAAGTATGACACAAAATAGAAAAAAATTGTTTACAAATTTGTTACTCAATAAGTTATGAGATATTTTTTAAAAATTTATATTTAATTAATTTTTCTGGTTTTTATAGTTCTATATATTTCTCAACTCCCTTTTTTGTTTTTCTCTTCCTTTTTTATACCTAGACAAAATAAGAATTTTGTTAATTATCATTTAATTATTTTTGTGATTTAATTACTGATGTTGATAAATTGTTTAACAAAAAAAAAAAAAAAAAGTTGTGTTGTGATTTAATATATATGATTAAGAATAAAAAGTTATGTCGTAATTTAAGTACTTATGCTGCATAATTACTTGTACATAAATTATTGTGCTGTTACTGTTTACGTGTCGGGATTTGGGCATATAAAGCATCTAGACCAAGGCATGTATATGAGAATGGACAATATTGAAGCTCAATTGCTCAAATACATAATATTTATGGGAACATAAGACACTTTCAAATAGTCATGGCGTTCGCTCTGATAAGACTTTCTTGGTTGTTATGTTTATTTTCCCTATCAAAAACATTCTGCTGTAGATAATTTAAATTTTGAATTTTAATAACTATTTACAGAAATTAGATTCCTTTTCAGCTTAATTGTTGTGTACGAGTTGTGGGAAAAATATTTGTGCTTTTAAAAAATATAATTTCGTGTCATTTTAAATCTAACCGTTGATTTTTGTTAATTAACGGTTAGAACTTATTGAATTTTATTGCAAATTACTAATATATTATTAGAAATGTACACTCTTTTTCTTTCACTGGGATTTTTTTTTTTAGGATTTTTTCGTAGTAAAGTTTTAATGAGATACATTATCTTATAAACAGTATTAATGTGGATGCCATTATAACCCCCAAATTGTGTAACTTTTGTAACCACTATTTGTTAATTATATGCAATTAGTGGAATTCTATCATATATTGTAAATGATTGGGAGCCTATAAATAGAGATCAAATGTACTCATATGGTAGCCTTGTAATATACATTACAATATGAGAAGATGAATGTAAATAAGAACTCTACCTTGTTTTACTCCTAATCGTTTGAATGAGAAGTATAACTCCCTTATTTTATTGTTATAAACAATAAAGCATCAACCTATTCACCTGCAACTTTTTAAATCAAAATGCAGACAATACAGCTTTAACAGTTTGAATTTTTAATTTTATTTTATTTTCTTATTTCATTTAAAACAATTAATGATGAAAATTCTCTATAAGTGCTTTTCAACCATTGGGAATTGTTATTTTTAAAAATAGGTATTATAATTTAGTTTAGTCCCTCATGTGGCGTGGCATTTTTTTTCTTCAAAAAAGCATTTGCTTATTTAAAAAAAAAAAAATTGCCATTCAAATAACTACTCTTGAAGTCTTGATCATTAAGTGTGCGTGTCTAGTATTAGTGTGTGTGTATATATAAATAATATTTACTGCTTTAAATAATATTTTCTAACCTAAGCTTTTACAAATTTCAATTATTAATTAATTAAAAACTAATTATAATTATATTTAATTATTTCACTAATTATAATTTTTATTATTTATTTCTCTAATTAAATATATATCCTAAAATTTTGTAAATAATATATACAAAAAAAAATAACAAAAAGTTAAAAAAAAAAAATTCAAACACAACATACCTTTTTCGGTTGGCAGGGAAATCTCACAGAACATGCAGCGAAGAGAGTTCAGGTAGCAGAGAGGAAAGTGGCAACCGATTTAGACGAGAGATTTTTGAGAGAAGGAAAGAAAAATGCTTTAGAGAGAGAACGAAAATTGCAGATGCAATGAAACAAATAAGAGCTAGTGGCGTCAAAATTTTTGCTGCACTAATACCGTCTCGCCAAGTGACGGCATTGAAGTGCGTGGCTGACATGAAGGCCTGTTACGTCAACCTTGGTGACGGGATTAATCACGTCAAGTCTTCCTACGTCATTGACTGCCTTACTTTGGTTAAACATTAGGAAAGTGCTTTAACTAAGTGTATCCTTCCATAAATGTTCTTAGATGGGTGCTTTTGCCTTGTACTTTGCATTCAAAGACTACTTCAAGAGGCTTTTCAATTTCAACAAGGATAAGGATGATGGCTTGACCTCAGGAGGTGCTGCTGTTGCTGCTTCATCCCTTTTATTTGTTTACTCCCTTGACTATGCTCTTACCCATCTGGCTAATGATGCAAACAAGGGTGGAGAAAGGCAATTCAATGGTCTTTTTCTTTTTCCTTTTAACAAAATGATGCAAACAAGGTTCTTTTGATTTTTCTTTACAACTTAAAATCATTTGCTGATAGCTATTACCATTTTCCTTGATCATTGCAGGATAGTTTTTTGCTAGCTTTGCTCTTGGATGGCTCATCATCACCAATGGTTGAGGTCTAGCATCATATTATATTTGTGATGGGATGATTGTGCATACATAACAAAATTTCTAAAATCAAAACTTACTAAAACTTAGATTACATAAACTACTACATAATTTCTAAAAGTTAGCATTGGAATAGGGAATGATGTCACATATTATGAATAGATATTGATTTACGCTAATCAATCAGTGGATTTTTACCTTTCTTTGTTTTCTCTAACCATCAATTTTAGCAAAATACTGTTACTGCATGCGGTTAAAATTTGCGCTTAGGATGGATGTTCTGGTGTAACAGACGAATCCATATATCTCTGCTCCAACTGCAGGCTCTAAGAACGTGGAGCAAGTCTTCTGGTGTTGAAAGATATTTGAATAAAATTAAGATGTCTTTCTACTACAATTGTCATGATATCTTTTAGAGAAAAATTATTTGAATACAATTAAGATTAAATTTAGAAATTATTTTAAAAAATAAAAAGTAATAACTATAACGTCTCTTACGTAATAAAAAATAAAAAATAAATATTTAGTTTGTCAAAAAAAAAACATAATATGTATTCAGGAAAATAAAAATGTATTTGAATATTATCACAAATAAATAAATAAAATTAAGTAATATTATTATTAAATTTTAAATCTGTTTTGATATTATATTTTATAAAATTATAAACATTTTAGACGGATTTATTTTGCACTTAAAAAATGTTAACCGCACAATCTCTTATAAATGTTTTGATAATAAATTTTTGAAAAATTAAAATTTATTAATTGAAATATATTTTAAATATTTTTGTTAATAAAAAAATTCATAGTTGTAAAAATTTTATGTAAGTAATCCTGTCCAACCCACATTGTCTAACAAGTTATTTTAAATAATTAAAATG